AATGAACCAGAGGAAAAGAATATCAGGCTGACCCAATATACTGATGTACTAGTATAGTTCTATACAGACTATTTGGATTAGGAGTTTGGTAAAAAGGCAGATAAAAAGGCAGTAGTATACTAAAGTACTGGGGTTATGCTATGAAGGAGATGCTAGGGTCTAAGTGAACTCTATAAGAGCATAGCAGTTTAATGGTTAGCCCTAACTGCAAGTATTAGTTCTGCTATAGCAATATCTAGGTTAGCTGTAAAAATGAATACAGAAGGCTCTGAAAGGTTTATCTCGAGAATAAATTAGTTCTAAGGTTGAGATGATGATCTAGGCATCTGGGTATGACCCAGTGAGTTAATACAGATTACAGATTCAGAGAGTTTAAAGTGGAACACCTAAACAGAGGTGTTAGGTATAGCAATTGGTAGGGAATCTTCGGGCAGACTCCTTAAATAGATAATATAGAAAAGTTATATGTGTAGCCAATTGTACTCTCTTCTGTATTGGTTCATTGAATCACAATACCAATAAGTGATTAATAAAAATTAAAAGACTAAAGAGGTCACCTTAATATCAAAAAAAAAAAATACTATCTAGCATTTGACTAGTATTGTCTTTAAAGTTAGAGTATCTGCGATTAATATAGAACTTAATGTGTTCAGTTTGTTCCTATTTTTTTTCATAGTTGCATGCTTGCCAAATTATGTGTTTATATTATTTGACTTGATCTATAGTATTTAACTATGAATAAGCAAATTCCTCTTGAGTAATAGGAATAATGCTGATTTTTGCTAAGGTAGCTGCTTTTGTTAAGTACTTATTAGTCTGGGCTATTGTGTCTGTTGCTTTATTTGATAGTTGTTATAGGCATTTGTTGATATTTTTTAGAGCTGAATAGAGTTTTGTTGCTTTTAGTAATATAGCAAAAAAAGGCTATAGGGCTGTAAAGGTATAAGAAATATGTTTATTCATTGCTTTTTTTATTTTTGATGCCTAGTAATTTCATGTTCTATTGATATTATCTTTATTTATATTTGGTGAAGAGATTTTATAAAAATTGAATAATATATTTACTAAGTTTGCAAATTCGTTCCATGTGTCTACTATAATTTTTTTGTATAAATATATTTTCTTTTTCTTTTTTTGTTTCTGAGAGCTTTTAGCAGATAGAAATTGGTATGTCATGTTGTGTTTAATATATGATGGTTACTGTTTGTAACATAGATAGCATTAATTATTGTTAATGAATCGAAGGCTAGAAGTATATCTAAAAAAATCCAAAAATTATCTATTTGACTAGTTAAATTAGGACCATGCCAAGTAGGTGTTTGTATATTATGAAAATCTAATAAGCTAGTTAGGTTGGTAGCATTTAGGTCAGTAAAAATTAAAAGTTTTTTGTTTCTGTACTAATTTGCATTAAAGTTATCCAAGATAATCAAATGTCAGTTTCGAGATCTGGCCTCTGTGACCCAGAAACAGATATGCTGAAATAATATGAAACTTGTTGTTATTTAAAAAAAAGAAGTTGATGCAAATTGTAGTACCAGGTAGAATATTAATATTATAAATATAGAGCTATAGTTGGTTGCAGACTAATAAAACTATTCTCAAGCTAGTTTCTCTTTGATTCAGGTTATATGATAAAAAGTTAAATGTATATATCTTGTAAAAGGAATTGGTATAAGATTTTACTGCCGAGTCTTTTAGTTTAGTTTCTGTTATAGAGATTATATATAGATTTGATTTTACACAATGTTCAATCCAGTTTTGTATTTTTAGTGTATTGTTAATGTCTTTAATGTTGTGTATAGTTATGTTGATTTTTTCATTTAAATTTAGTTTAATTTTTTTTGTTTCATTCTTATTATTTGCTAAAGGCAGATTGTTTATATGATAGTTTGTGCTTATTAGTAATTCATATTATTATCTTCTTTCCTGTCTAATGTTTGTATATATGTGATTGTTATTTGTTTTGGTAAGTTAAAAATTTCAAAAAACAGTTCAGGTAAGTCTATGAAGTTGAAAATGTATTCTGATAAAGAGTGATAGGTGAAGTTTTGTCTAAGAGTTTCTATAACTAATTGAATATTATAATGCTTCTATACTAAAATGTATATATTTATAATTTGTTTTTGTTCAAGAGCCAAACAAAGTTGTTCTACTGTTGATAGTAGTTTGAGCAAAACTAATCCAGTCTCTAGTTGTTTTTCTTTTCTTTTTATCTGAATCCAAGACTGAGATATGGTATAAAAATAATATTGCTCTTATAATGCTTTAATGTTATGTTTAGCTCTTTAGAAATTGATATTGGTAAAGTTAGATTGACCAAAATAACTAAATTGGCATCTTCAGGCAGATCTGGATGATCTGTATAATTGAAGTTGCAATAATCTTGTGACAATAGTAATAAGATATTGTAAATTCATAAAACACACTTGATAAAAGCATTCACTTCTTCTGTATTTTGTAAAGGAAATGTAAAATTGAACATTTTTAAATTTGTTGAATCTAAAAATAGTCATCTTTAAAAGATAATATAATTATTAGGTAGTCTGGTAAAGGAATAGTCTATATATAGTAATCTGATATATTTCTTAAAATCATCTTGACTTTCAAGTAGAAAAGAGAATCTCTCTTTTAATCTGGGTATTAGATTTTGTGGAGTGGAAGGCAAAGAGTATTTTAATACTGTTAAATCAAAGTATTCAGCTGGAATTTGCTAAAAAATATAATATTTTTGTAAGGTCTTTCTATAGTAAGCTAGCTTTTTTAGCTTGGCTCTGTCTATAATAGAAAAAAGGTATTGTACTTCATTTCTAAATCTTTATATAAAGCTGATAAATTTTCACAATTGTCTGTAATATATTCATCTGATAGCTTATCAAAGGAGAATATTAAATGCAGTATTTTAACAGCCAATATAAGAACCCATTGGCTTGTAATAGGTAAATCAAAGAGAATAGCTTAAGACAAATGGTCTGAAATAAGCTCTGGTCTGTTAGGCAAGGAAATTAGCATTTCATTCATTATTTCTAAGACAGTTTTTCTTGTTGTTTCAAAGTTTAGATTCTGTTAAATTTTTGCAAAACCAATTAAGTAAAAAATATATTTTGTGATTTACCAAGTATCTAAAAAGTTAAAGTTCAGGTTGGTTAAATAATCTAGTGCCAGTTTTATATGCAACATTTTGAAAATTTGGTTTCAGTTTTTTTTATTAATACTTAATACATCATGCTGTTTTTTATATATATTTAATACATTAGAAAATAAGCTGTTGAATTCATTCTGGTATTGTAGTCTAATTGCTAAAATTCAATTGAAACTTTTAAAGAAGGCTGTGTTTCTGTGAAAGAATTTTGTTTTTATTACTATTGGGATATGAATAGTAATTAGTTTTGTTGATAACTTGTATCTAATTAGTTCTTTCAAGTTTTGAAATGAAATTAATACATTCTTGGTTTTTTGTTATGTTCAAATTGTTGTATCAAATGATTCTAGTTTTTCTTGTCTAATTTTTTCTAGAGTTGCCTGTGTATATTTTTTTTATTCTTTTTCTTTATTAACTTTGAAATAAGAGTTTGAAATTCTTCTAGTTCTTTTTAGAAAGTTTTTAACTAGTACTTGGTTGTATAATATTTTTTTTGTGACTGTTCTTCAAGTATTGTATCAGTTGATCAGGTTTCTTCATTGTTGTCATCCTCTATGTTTATTGATATGTACTCTATTTTCATATTGGGTTATTGTTCTAATGTGTTGACATCTAAGTTGGATTGGGACATTTGCTTGGATAGGACTAAGTTGTTTGTTTTTTCTATCTGTATTGACAAAAGAAAAGTAACATCTATATTGTTTGGGTTCTAGATCAGATTTTGTTTAATTTGATTATCTATGAGAAGATTTGAGATTGTGATTATGGTTGTTGTTGTTGTGTGTAATGATATTATTGTTAGATTTTTTGAGAATATTCTAGAAACTTCCTTTTTTTTAATGTTTATTTTGTTAATATTTTTTCTATTGCTTGCTTGTATAAGAATAACAATTTTGTTATTAGTTTTGTGTTTCTTTTTGTTGTTCTGTTTATCCATAGTTTCTTGAATGAATTATATTTATGTATACTGTTTGGAATATTTGTCTTAGGACTTATTGTTATTGTTGCTAATATTGGTTCCAGTTGTCAACTTAGTTGATAACAATGATAAAAAGAAAACTGGAGTGCAAAAAGCTTTCTTGTGACTTCATTTAATTCTGTTGAAGTTTATGCTATGCTGTTTGTTAATGCTAGTATTTAGTTAATTAGTTAAAATATGTTTTAGTTCAGCTTTTTTCAAAAAATTTTTTGTTTTTCCAATTTTGCTATAAAATTAGGATTTTCGGGAAAGAGTTTTTTATCTTAACAAATTTTATTGTTTAAAAAATATTATATGTATATATAATAACAATGAACAATCTAAATTAAACTTTTCTATTATTTGGATGTGTCGAAAAAGACACTTGAACAATAACTGCGTTGTCGGGAAATAATAGATATTTTTTGTCCTGCCAAAGACAGTGCAAAAAAACTTATTTAACTACTGGCCATGTAATCCATTGTTTCGAGTGTCTTTTTGATACATTAAAATGATAAAAATTATTTGTCAAAAATGTTATTTTCAAAGTGGCCTAGAAATGTACATGTATTTTTTCTCCAACATGAGGAAAATATATCTTATTCCGAATGTGAATGTGAATGTGATATCACATAATATGTGTTCGTATACAACATTTACTCTAACGCTTAATCAAATTTAATTAGCGGCAGGGTGTCTTTAGTCCGTTAACGTTAAGTAGACAAAGTATATCATCAAGTCTAACCTAAGCTCTAATAACATGCTTTTTTTTTTTTTAATGTCTTTCTAGAATATCCTGCGAAATAGTCATGTGACTACATACACGTGAAAGACTGTACGAGTTAAATTTCAGTCATCAATTGATTTGAAAAAAAAAATTTTTTTTTCTACTAAAAAAATATGGATTCAAAAAAAAGAAATCGACATCAGAAAAAATGTGATAGTAATTATGCAACAATAATTACAAAATCAAAATCTTCAAACAAATCCAAAAGATCAAATAATCATAATTCAGTTAAAACAACATCACCTAAAATCTCAAAAGTTCTTTTGGGATTTCCGGATGGAAATATAGTACTCGAAGAGGATATTGACCCATATTTAAGTAAAATAGGTGGTATTCCAAATTGGTTAATCAAGTCTTATCCACCTCCATATGATTTTATAATTTGTAAAAATTGTGAAAAAGAAATGTTTTTATTATTCCAAGGTTATATACCTTTGGAAGAATCTCCTTATGAAAGGATGGTTTATGTTTGGGCTTGTAATCGACAAAAATGTATGAAGCGTCCTGGGAGGTATGTTTATCTATTACCGTAAATTATTATTATTATTATAATTATAATTATTATTATTATTTTATGTTATTAAGAAAATCTTTTGATTTGCATATACAGTTTCAAGGCAATTAGGGCACATAGATTGGATGAAAATTTTGTGAAAAGTCAAAAGAAAAATAAAAATAATTGTCATAAAGATCAAATAAAATTTGAATTGCAAAAACCTACCACAATGTTTAATGTATGATACCTTTTTTTATTATGAATAATTATCATGTTAATGGGTGCATACTAAGGATAATAAAATCGTTTTAGTTGGGAGACGCACTCTTCTCAACGCAAGACATATCTTCTGTAGTGGATGGGTTGGGTGGAATACTGTTCAATAATGATAATGATAACGAAAATTATAATGATAACGAAAATGATAACGATAACGAAAATGATAACGATAATAATACCGATAATGATAACCATAATAATACCGATAATGATAACGGTGCCGATAAGTTGAGTGTAAATCTTGTAGGCGTTTTTATCTATTTAAATGTCGGATGACTTCGTATAAGGTGACTCCGCTTAACAATTTACAAAACATTTGGATTAAAGACATCTACCTCCGTGTTGCCAAACACACAAGTTACATGTAACCTCGATGTGAATTGTTCTTCAAGTACTCCAACGTGGAGTCAAGTTGTTGCCAGATCAACAATCATAGATGATGCTGATTCCAAACTCTGTGATGATGTTACCACTAAACTTGTTATGGGCGATATTTTAGAACCTTTTTCAAAATGTAAGCTTTTTTTTTTCTGAAAAAATGAATCTCCTTGGTACACGAGAATCTTCCCATTGATTCCATTCTTGTAACTATTAAAAAGTACCTTGGCCGGAAAAAATTCCATTCTTTCCTGCTCAATATCTATATATTACCGAAGAAATCTTGGAAGAAAAACCTGATCCTAATCTAAAGAAATACGAAAGTTATTTGAATACTTCACTAAATAACAATGAAGATGACTCATTTGATTGGATGGATGAAAAATACGAAAAATCTTGTTTACCAAGAGGTGTTGACAAAGCTTTCAGAAAATTTTCGGATCGTGTATCTGAATGGCCTGATCAATGCATTAGGTATATGATATTAAATGTTAATAATTCTTATTGCAAAGTGCCAACATAATACTTAAAAACTTTATTTATGCTCACTATTGTAATTATTCTTAAGGTACGAGTTGGATGGACAACCACTCTTATATAATCAAAGTGATCCAACAGCTTCATTATTATTATCACCACCATATGGATCAGTTAAAGGGCTTAAAACAAGTACACAAAGATTACCTAACTGTCCAAAGTGTGGATCTAAAAGAGTTTTTGAATTCCAATTAATGCCAAATATGTTATGTATGCTTCCAACTGGTGAATATGCGATTAATAGCTCTGAAGAAAAGAGTGGGATAAAAAATAATAAATGTGGAATTGCACAATTTGATGTTGGAATGGAATGGGGTACAGTAATGATTTTCACATGTCAAAAAGATTGTGAAAGTTATAATATTGGTAAGGATAAAGTGTCTTATTACGAAGAATTGGTTTTGGTACAATACGAACTGTAGAATCATTTGAAACTACAATAGTGAGAAAATTTATCATTCATTAATCGTAAATGTTTATCAATATTGTTACTTTTTTTAAAAAAATACTGAAATTTTGGTTTTGCCAAGATTATCTATACACTTTAAAAGCTATTATTTAGATTAAATGAAATATCTAATCCAGGTCCAAATCATTACATATGTTCATTTATATCAAATTTTTGATATGTAGTGTAAACATAACATTGAACTGACTAAACATTACCATTTTAACATTCATATACAACTTTTAATATTAGATAAAATAACAATTATAAATAAATCAATAATGTAATTAATCTAATCAAGCTGCCTTGATTTATCAATGTTATCTCAATTATTTAAATTTTATTTTCTAAATTTATAAAATTCAACAAATACAAATATTTAGGTCTATTAAAAAAATACAAAAGCAAACCTGAAAAGAATGTACTAAAAATGAATTGTTCATATAAATAAAAGTGAATTATTGTATTTAAAATTGTTCATTTAAATAAAAAAAGAATTATTACATTAACAACTGTTTATACATATAAATAAAAAAAATTATTAAACAAACCAAAATAGTAACTTTAAAATAATTAATATCTAATATCAGAATTAATGCCTCTTCTTTTTTCTTCCTCTCTAATTTCAAAAAGTATCTGTGAACCACCAAAGAGTACAATACAGGCAATTCCAAGTTCCATTAATCCTAAAGTTTCAAAAAAAAATATATAAATAAAAAACGTAAGTACAAATCAACGTTTAATTAGGTTCTTCATTAAGAGTAAAAAACACCATATAATATGATGTTGCCCTTTATTTTTTTTTAAAGGCCAGGTCTTTTTTATAAAAAAAAAAAAAGACTAAAAAGCCTAGTTTTATAAGCGAACATTGGATGTGATTATTACCTATAGGAGTCATGAAAATATTTGTAAATAAAACTTTCATCCCATCTAAACCAACGACAAATCCGACTAGATTTGCAGCCCACATCATCAAAAGGTTTAATATAGCACCAACAGCACAAAAATGTCGATAATGTGGCCAATCAACCCACTAAATATACAATAAATTTAGTACACTATTAAATTAATTTGGAAATCAGAACCAAAAAAATAAATAAAAATTTACTTCTTGTGAAGAAAAAAGTGTTTTAGCAATAGTTTCTGGTAAAATAAATATCCAAATTAGCCAACCCCATGCTAATAATTTTAATGAGATGTCATGCCACAAAGCTACAAATATAAAAATGATCAACATATTAAGTGTAGTACGTTTATTTCCACCAAGTGGAATATAAATATATCTATAAATTAAAAAACTTAATTACTTAAAACATGTTAAAGATTGCATAATAATAATAATTTTTTATTTTACTTACCGAATTAACCACCTATAATAGCTTCGATGCCAGCTACGCCAGAATCCAGCAGTCGAATAATTATTTAACATGCACCTTAAAATATTTTCTTGAGTGTTTATTCCATCTGACATTGCCCAAAATCTAAAGAAACGCCAGATAATCAATAACTTGAAAAATAAAGAAATTTAGATATGAGATATGTTAGTTCAACGAAATAAAATGTGTGATTTAGCCTATAAATAAGCAGTAAAGTATGAAATCACCTTTAACCAAACCAATTGTAAATTGAGAACACCAATCATAGCAAGTTCAAGTGGTGAATCACCTTCCCATGCTTTTGATTTAGAAATAGCAACAACGTATGTATAATGAAGCATAAATTCCATTATCATTATTGTAATGAAAAGCCTAACTCCGTATATTAATGTTTCCTTGAGATTTATTTCAGATGGATATCTCAACTTGAAACATAATAAATAAAAGTATCATGAATAAAACAAAAAATATGTTTCAATATATACAGTCAAAAGCCTCTAAATGCATATATTAATTAAACCTCTTAATTCTTAGGTCAAACCTATAGTAATAATTCTAAAATTACATCATTTAAGTGTATATTTTGGAAAGGTTTTATAAATGGACGCATTTAGAGTTTGAATTTACATGAATCAAAACTTACTTGAGCTATAAAGTTATTATAAGTAATAATTGGACCAGCTAGATACAATGGTGCATATAAAGCGTAACTTAAATAATAAACAAAGTTATAGTCTTCATGAAAACATGGTCCAATGATCCGATCCTTTTCAGTGAGAGGAGCAAGGTCCCTATCATTTCTCTATAAATTTAAAAGATAAAATCATCAGCAATGATTGAGATTGTCAATGTCTTTGAGTTTATAACAATAATGATCATTTTTACATGCGATTCTCCTAAGATTACCTCAGGGGAATTGTTAGAGGGGTGAAATGACCAATAATAATCCATATTAAAGGACACAAGCCGCAACATACATATGTTGAAAGTGACATCCCATCTGGTTATTAGTCCACGATTGTTATCCTTAAGTTTATCATAAAAAAGTAAATAAATATACATCAGAAATAACAGATATGCATAGTATATTCACATACCAAAAATGCCAAGTTTTCATTAAGATTTCCAAACCCGTAATTGCCATAAGATTCATTTAAAAACAAAACTCCCAAATTAAATATCCAAGTTATTATTGGATTTGCGATCGAGCCTTCAAATACTTTTGGTATAAGATAATTTGTACTTAATATCATCAGAATTTTGATGATATTATTACCAAACATAATATAAAAAAAAACTATCGAGAACCCCAAGAAAAAATATGTCCTTATAAGAGGTTGACTCTGAAATTTTGCTGGGGGTTTTGGTACAAAAAAAAATTGATATAAATGACTTAAAACAAGGTAAATAACTAAGGCAAGGATTAATGCACCATAATGGTTGCGAAATGATGCGAATTGTATATCACTATTATCCTATAATAATAATTTTTATAATTAATTTTAAGACAAAATTGATCAGAAGAAATGAACATTTTATATATTAATGTAGAAAATTTATAAATTTACCACTTTACGATTAAATAACCATCCATCTTGTAATCTCTGAGAATATTTCGTATAGTTTGGATGCGTTTCTAGATAAAATTAAAATATTATCCATTTATAATTCATTTTTTGTTTACATATTTTTTTCAAATTTACTAAATTCACTATCTATTGACATCATTCCTAAATAAAAGCCCAATGAAACCCTAGAACTCATCAAAAATTTCCGAAAAATACCTTTACTCAAATCATGTCCAACCTTAAACATAAGAATAATGGAAATTGTAACAATAAAATAATAAAAGCCAAATTCCCACGTATTCCATAATGGAGGATTAATCTTTGTTGGACGTTTCGTCCCTGAAGACGTTGAGGATGATGATTCTAACACTGAATATTTCGTAGATGAATTCTCATCATTATCTTTATCCGTTCCTCTCAAATTATTCAGAGCGAACATGATTATGCTTAAAATAAATAAAAGTAATTTAAATGTTGATCAGTTTATTGTTTATCAGGAAATTTGCAACTCCACATGCGTGTCACGATATAAAAGGGGCATTTAAAATCACCACTCACAAAATAATAAAAAATAAAATAAAAAATAAAATAAATTAACTATTATTGTTTCTTACTATGTCGGAACTGGGGCTCGATCAAAAAAATGAAATTGCACTTAGAAATAGCATCCTTGAGACAAATGCAAAAAATCGGTAAGTTAGAAAAAATTATGATAACATTCTTATTCGTACATATTTCTGACCTTTATTTGATATCAGATTAAAGGATCTACTGTTTAAAAGACTCTGCGATAGCGGTTGGAAAAGCAGGGTCAAAAAACGATGTATAGGTAAGATTCAATTTAATTATTTAAATTTTTTTTCCTATTATTTCCTATGACTTATTATTATTTGATTTTAACAGAAATTATCAGAACTGAGGATGAAAATAATACTAAACTTGACCAACTAGAAGATGAAGTACTGGCATATGGTCGAGGTATTATTACTCAAATTTATTTACTATATTCTTTGAATATAATTGCCATCCTCTGAATTATTGTTTCTCAAATTCGATGATTCTATACGGGATGTTTACAAATTAGAGATTATCCCGGAGGATGTCAAAATAGAACTTTTGCAACAAATTTCTGACTTATTAGACGAAACAAAATAGAGGAATTCTATTAAATACCATCCTTAAAATCAGAAAATAAAACTTTTATATTTTATATATTAAATACGTATATATATAATTTAATTTATATAAATAAAAAAAGTATATAGAAACATTAAAAGAAATTCTATATAATACCTATCCATTTTAAACTATAATCAAACCCAATTTTAACACTAAACATCTTCGAATGTTATTGTATAATAAATATTTTTAAAATGGTAATGTAATAAATGTTTTCAAAACATATATAATTGTGTAATAAATATTTTTCAAATATTTAAAATTGGAATTTCTAAGTTAGGATAAGAGTTAAAGATTAAAAGGTTTTTGAAAATGTTAAATATTTTTACTTAAAGTATTATATGTATATTAATTATTTGGCTAATTTTTGAAATATAGCAATTATAATATTAAATGCTATATTATTAGTATCGGTATGTTTGTATAATTTCTATTTAGTTAATAAATTTATTTAGAAAATTGAGCACCTTTTTTTAACAATTATTTCATTGCGGGGATCTTACATTTTTGCGATAGTGACAAAATATTCTAGATCCAGTGTAAATTATTAATAATATAGGTCGCTAAAAGGGAATTTTCATAGTAAATCGCAAATGTATTTCGTCAAAAACCTCTCTAATACCTTGTTAATAGTGCTAGTAAGAAACTAAATTTGCGATTTACTATGAAAATTCCCTCTTAGCGACCTATATTATTAATAATTTACACCAGATCTAGAATATTTTGTCGCTATCGCAAAAATATAAGATTTCCGTAATGTTGGTTTAATTTTTTAAAAACCAACTTGCAATAAAGCTATACATATATTATTTATTAAATTAATATTAGTTTTATAAATTAATATTAGTTTTATTTTATATACTATATATAGTATAATAAAAACTTTTCTTAAATCAGATTTTTACTAAAAACAAATTGAAAACTTAAAGTCTTGACAAAAGTTTATTTAATTTTAAATTTTTTTAAAAAGGTTGATTATTAATAAAACATTACAAAATATAAAAAATTAAGATAAAAATATAATTTGTAACAGCTTGTACTAAAGTTAATTTTTTTTTGTAAAATAAACTTTTTATATTTAGTATTTAAGTTAGAAAAAAGTTCTAATAATAGAAAATAAAAGCTTGCTAAGATTTAATCAAAGTTTAAAATATTTTAAAAAACAATTTAAAAATTAATATATTTATTAAACTTAATTTTTTTGTAATTTTTTTTATTTTTGGTTATTAAAATTTGACAATTTCTTTTTTTTTGAAATGTCAAAGTAGAAACTTTATTAAGTAATAAAAGAATCATATTAAAGATTTCTAAACTACATTTGTGTTACTTATTTTAAGACACCCAATGTGACATTACACCTTCATTTCTATATAACACTATTATTAATTATTTCAACTTAATTTTAAGTATAGAAAAGTTAAAGAAAACCTAAAGTAATAAAATAGTCTTGTTATTTAGTAAATACAATTAGTAAGTGAATAATCTAAGAATAATCAGTTTTTTTGAGAGGTATAGTGACCTAGTAAAGTAGTCAGGTTATCAACTCCCAAGTGGCAGATCTAGAATTCAAATTTCATGAATGATGAATTTTGAAAAATAGGTCTGTATTATAGTAACTGTTTCTGTCGATCAGTTGGATTAGTGTATCAGTAACCTTTAGTTGCACTATTTCAAATAGGAGCTCAGGGCATTTATGCTAAGTGTAACATTATATCTATATAGAGGAATGTTAATAACTAATATTGCATAAGACTTTGGTACAAATCTATAATAAGTCTACTGAGTACAGAAAGTGAAGAAACTGGAGAGTCAAAAATCTATTTGGAAATCCTGAATAAAGAGATAACACAAAACTTTTAATGATGCTGTTGGATTGATGAAAGTCCATGAAACACCTCCAAAGTAATAAATGGATAAATTGGATGACAAGATATATAGAGGAGCACATGATCAACCAGACTGCCAGAATCACCAAAGGAAAAGGATACTAAGGTATACTATACTGATCTATCTGGATTGAAAGTCTAGAGAGTTCTGTCAATTCGAAGTAGTGGTTAGTAGAAGATGATGAATAGGATGTCTAAAAGATGAATACTGAGATTTTGGATGAATCTTATAAAGATAAAAGTGGTTTAATAGTTAGACCTGACTGCAAGTGATAGTTTAAGTCAAAGTGATACTAAATAAGCTATAAGTATAGGATATAGAATATACTAGTAGGTTTAGTACAAAGTTAAATATGACTTAGTAACTATGATATATCTTCATCAGTTTACCAGAATTGTTAGTAAGGTGTAGTGAATATGGAATGAGAGTGTTTAAATAGAGGTTCTACAGATAGGTTCTAGATATAGCAGCTAGTATATAACCTTCAAGTGAATTACTTAAATTAGATAATGACTAAAGTTGTATAAGTGACTAGTTGTACACTCTTTTTATGATCACCTCTGTGCTGTTATGTCAACAGATACTAGTTAACTAATACTACTAATAAAATCCTGAATCACATGTACTTGCCTTAATATTAAAAAAAAAAAGAATAATTAGTTTTTAATAGACATAATAAGGTTAATAGTAAATGTATTTGAGATATTGAATGTTGATTGAGAAGTAGGAATTAAAAAGTAGATTTTTGAATATTTGGATTTGTTAGTTATATTGCAAGTTTTTTCTTATTGTTGTTGAAGAATGTTATATGGTAGTTATATTTGTTGATAGAACCAATTAAGAGAAGCATTAGATAAAGTTGTAAGAAAAGATAATGTTGGTTTATAAAAGAATATTTTAATATTGTTGTATAAAAATATAGGGTAGAGGCCTTGAATAAGATTCAAAAAATAAAGATGCAGTAATGTATTAAGGTAGTAAAATAATTTAGTATAAATAGTATTTGTAATTTCAACAAAGATATTTAATTGTTAGATAATATTTGTAATTAAGTTATAAAAAATTTATTAAAAATTAAATTTTTGTTTAAAACAAGTTAATAGATGAGATATATCTTTGATTAATTGACAATGAACATAATTTTTTTTTTTTTTTTGAATTTCCCACTGCTTGGTCACTAGTGGGCCACAGCTGGTGGCTGTTTTATTAGTTCATATTTCAAGTTCATGGGACCTTCTATCAGGATCCCGTCTATATTTTTACATTGTTTGTATACATTTATAGTACTATCTATATACTAATTTTTGTGTTCCTATTACCCTGGAATTTCACCTGGATTATTCCTAATCGGGGATTCCTTTGTTCTATTATTATCCTCAGCCCTCTAATCATTATAGCCTTCTTATGTCAGGTCCGTCGCCATTTAAGGATCTGGGTACCGAAGATCTTCCTATTTTCGTAATATGCCATCTGGTGTAGTTAATCCGTAATCGTAGTTCTAACACAGTTTACGTCCCCCGTTAGACTTAAACTGGCAACCTTGCGATTAGTGACCTGGGAGCGTAACCACTTTGCTATCAACCCACAGGTCACAATGAACATAATTTGGAATAGTGTATAATAAAGAATATCATATATTAAGAATTTGCATAGTTGGTAAGTTGTTATTAATAATTTTTAGTCAAAATGAATAAAATTTTTGATCATTATTAAGTGAATTAATAATATTAAAATTGATAAACTATTTAATAGAAAGTGGGTTTTAAAAGTATTTAAGTTGTAATCAAGTAAAAAGTAATTAAATAGTTATCCCTTAGATTGTAGGCCAACACAGACAAATTTGCCTGTGTTTTTGCATTTTTTTAGCTCTGATCTACTTTTTTA